ATAAAATGACAATGTGTCTATTACTGTTGTATGACTGTTTCTTTTGATGGATATAACACTCCTTCTTTTCATAACTAAATAATAAATACTGTTCAGATTTTCCTACCTTTAATTTTTTATGAATTCCATCTGAATTCACTGTGGGGCTGGCGAACGAACAGTTGAAGTTGTACATCATGGAAATGAAAATATTATGAAGCCTAATCCTGGTTTCGCAATGACAGGTCCTGAGCATCAAATCTTCAAAAGATGGCATCCTTGATCATCACGATGAGACTAGAATATATTGATGCCTCTCATATTACTAGAATTCGAAGATGTAAACCAGCAGCTGAGGAACAGCTTCAAGAAGAGACTTGATGTACATATACTTACGTTCAAATTATCATTACACTCACTGCCAAACTGTGCCTGATATATGAATGGAGACTTGCTTGTTGTTATTATTTCCATCTCCGCAGATTACTAACCTCAACTATCTCCCTTATTATCTATAATTACTCTCCCTTGCGTACACTTTAGTCTCCTAGCAAAATCTTCCTTGCCAATAAGTAAAATAAATTATAAATCATTTTATTAACGTATTTGTTGTCTATCGATATCTATTGGCATTGTTAAATTTTAGTATCTGGTGTTGAATTTGAAGTACAGCTCACCAATGTAGTGGCTTAAGACTTGACTTCAATTATATGAGTGATGGTGTTGGCAATGAGAGAAATCTCTTTATCCATTTCCGTATATCATACCAGTTTGTACGTTTCCATTTGTGGTTCCCGTTTCGCGTTTATCTCGGTAGTTATTTGCTGCTTTTTTATTCTGGTCTGTACATCATTTCATTATCTTGAGAACACAAATCTATACACCACCTCATCCAATTAGTCTTCTTTCTGATTTCTGGATCTTTCAGGATTTAACATAGTAAACTCGTGAATATTGATTAAAATCTCTTACAGACAAACATGAGAATGGACAGCCTACACGTGAACTGAAAAAACATGGAGAGGACGAGTGTAACAACGCTCCATCTGCTGTAGAATGACTAGGTATTTATGGTCAAGCAATAATTGGCTAGACATGTAATGAGCGAGTAGGCACACAATCTAACAGACGACAATCGATACTGTTATTGGATTATTAGAAATACAAAAAATAGTCGATATTAAGGTCGAATAAATAAAACGACTGGGAACGGTGAGATGCCACAGAATCAGGTATATTTCATTATTTGGTATAGTAATGTGAACAAGTACATTGTAAAGTTGCTGTCAGTTTGTGATGATAATTATCTAGTTAATCAACTGTTGTTACCTGTTATGTTAGTAGGCTAGATTGAACTTAGAATTAATCATAGAAAGAATTATTTGTGTTTGACAATGATTGATAAATAATCATGTATCTAAAACATTCGATACAGAGAAAACTGGAAGATGCTGAACAGGAAGAAGAAGAAGAATTCACGGATGTACAAGCGCGAAAGAAATATGTAAAATTTTTGAAAAAGCTCTCTCCAGTAGTAAATATTATAATTAAAATTATTGAGGATGTAAATGTAAGTATGATGACTTTTAAAATGTGAACGACTTTGCGTTACATCTTGTCTGTATTCTTCCTCATGATTTGCATATAGTTCACCAGAGTTTCTCGTCTCTATCGCACATTCTAAAACAACAGATATGCGATTGCACTGAAACAGTAGTATTTGAAATCTGTTCTATCACAACTCACTTTTATCTATACGTAATTCGAATTGAATGTATTCACTACTTATGAAATGATAGATTGGTGCAAAGTAATGTGACCGTTGATTGCACTAAGCCAACGAATATTCTATACAAGTTATCCATTCTATATCAACTAACGATGCTCGATCAGGTAAACTGACCATTTGATATGGTAATATAAACCAGCAACTTCTAGAGTTGTTGTAAGTTTGTGATGAAAGGAATCATCGAAATCAACTGAATATTCTTAAACAACGTAGTGAAATACTGAACTAACCTCTGAGTGATAATGATTCTGTGAATTGCGAGTTGGAAGTAATCAAGATAGGAAGTCTGTATTTGACAAACTTCAAATTCACATCACTTGATGTGTGTTCATCGGTTTTTGTATAATTTTCTGTATTGAATATATGTGTAACTAGTCAAGATAGTTTTGATGGGAAATATTGACTTAGTTGGTATTCTGAAGTGCAACTCATCGTAGTTTGCAGTGTATAATAATTTCAGATTTGTGAGTAAAACATTTCAGCATTATCACTTAATATGAATATTGTAATCGTTTGCATTGGGTTCTGTAAGCTGGACACAAAAAGTAAGACTTTTTCATTGAGTGAAATTGTTGTGTTTGATATTTAATACTAAATGATTATGTACAAAATTGCATTTGATACAGAAAAAATCGCAAGATGATGAGAAAGAGCCGAACGACTCAATAGATCTGCTAACACGAAACAGAAGTGTGAATATTACGAAAAAAATTCCTTCAGTATGGAAAATCGTTATTAAAACTGTTGAAGATGAAATTGTAAGTAGGATGACCCTCAAAGTTGAAACAATGTTTGTGTTATTTCTAGTCTGGATTCTTCCTCACGATTTTCAGATAGTTTAACACAGTTTCTCGTCTCTATTGCACATTCTAAAACAACAGATACACGGTTGCATTGAAACAGTAGTATTTGAAATCGATTCTTTCACAACTTACTCGTATCTACATGTGATTGAAAGAAAATACATCGAACTCAATAGGTTGTCACAAAGTAGTGTCACTGTTAATTACAATACTCCGTCGAATTCGGTATACCAGTTGTTCATTCTACATCTACTAGCACTGTTCCATCAGCTACATTGACTTTTTGATATGGCATTATACACAAGAATGTTGTATAGTTGTTGGTCTCTTTGTAATGAATCTTATCTCATGTATCAACTCATTATTCTTAAACAGCTTAGTGAAATTTTTTTGAACAAACGTGTGAGTGATAATGGTTCAGTGTTTATTTGCATTGAATATATGTAAAAAAACTGAGGATACTCGTGATGAGCAATGTTGTCATCGATGGTTTTACAAGTGCAACTACTGGGGACGTAGCCTTTAAAGTTAATTGGTTTTGTTTGCTTTCTGAATCGCAACTGTTTCGTTATTCTCACAGTTATGACGAAGAACTATCAGCGCTAATAATTATTGTGAAGCGTATAATCGTTCATATGGTATTCTCTCATTTGACTACACTGAAACATCACTTTATCACAGAATGTGTTTGTTCTGTTTAACTCTGACTGATCGATATTCATGTATCTAACGTTTTTTGATGCAGGGAAAATCGGAGGATACTGAAATATATGATGAAGAATTAACGGAGAAGGAATCGAGGGAGAAATATTTTAATTTCTTGAAAATCCTCTTACTAATATTATCGCTGATTATAAAATCTGATAGAGGAAGAATTGTAAGTATTATTATTTAAAAAGTTTGAACGAATTTTTTCTATGGCATTTCTCATGTTGAATGTATTTAAAGATTTGCAAATAATTAAATTCACTTTATCAATAAATTGCATATTCTTAATTCATAAGACAAATGGCATTGAAACATCATGCTTTGAAAACTGTGCTCTCACATCGAACTTGTATCCAACTTACTATTATGTTTGTCAATTAGTATGCTTAAGTCTATTACGAGATGAGCTTAGTCAACAAACGCAAACGAGACTTTACCAGCGACCAGGCAGCCTACCTCGAATCACAAAGTAAAGTAAAAAGGCTTTGTAAACCTAGAAAGTATAGTCTACAAACACCCAGCAATCACAGTACAATCAAGCATACAACCCTCGTTTATTTACACATCATAGAAACGTCCTTGGGACATTTAAGAAAATAGCACACAAAAATACACAGCAGCCAATCACAGCTACGGATTTTCCTGGTGGTAATTGAAATCTGAAGGTCAACAGATCAGCCCATGCTCGCAAACGTAAAAAATCAAAATAAGGCATTTATCAAGCGTATTTTGGGTATCTGTTATCCACAGTACATACTTGCTAACATTCGCCTGTTACCTTTGACGGAGCATAGGCCGCCGAACAGTTTTCTCCAAACAAATCTGTCCTTGGCTTCTTTTTCCAATTCTGTCCAATTTTCATTCATTTTCCTCATTCGTGTCTTCTGCTTTTTCTCGACGTTATGTTTATTAGCCTTCCGCTTTTCATTTTTCCTTTGGCGTTCTATGTGCTCATTTCGTAAAGTGTGTCCTATCCACTCTCCCCTCTTCTACCTAATTTCCCTTTCCGATGAAGTCTGGTTTATTCACTCCGACAGTACGTTGTTGCTGATCGTTTCTATCAAATGAATCCTAAGTATTTTGCGTGGACAACTGTTAATAAACACTTAGGCTGAGTCTCCACTGTCTTCAGTAAGACCTACGAATATTTCGAAATACAGGGAGAAGGCCCAAAAGAACAATAAAGTCACAGGGTTGGAGCTTGCGTTAGTACACGTAAACAAATGTTATAAAAGAAAACAGTTATTGGTAAACTTGTTCAATAATAAGTATTTATATGTCGTCAAGCATGATTTTTTCACCATAAACACCAAATTTCAATAAACTCTACTGTCTCCTTCTGAGTAAGCAGCTTGTGCGGTAAATGTCTCTGCTCTTGTTTGACCGACATCGAATGCTGCCGTCTTGTTCCTTCTTTCTTAAAAGATTTCAAGAGTACCAACAAAGATTCAATCCTTTTCATGGTATTTCCTGCGACCTAGAGTTCGTGACCTGTTGAAGTGATTGCCTACTTGATCCCCTCACAAATGTTCTTCAATGCTGCTTCCTCACCATTGAGTATATCGTGCAGAGCTTGGAACCTATAAGCGAGAACTATATTCAATTCGTTGAATGTAACGGAATCCCGAAGAAAGGCTGTATTACACTTGTGTGATAATGTCGGCCTCGTCGTGCAGTAATCTTTAGTTTCAGTTTCATTTTGACGACCAGCAAGTGGTGATTTGAGGCTAAATCAGCTCCTTTCTTGGTTCTCATAAACTCCGTAATCCTTCTGAACGTTTATATGATACATATATGGTCGATTTGTTTCTGAGTAGTGTGATCCGGTGAAATCCATGTAGCTTTGTATACGCGCTTGTGTGAGAATATTGGGCCACTGATGACCAGTTTGTTGAACGCACATAGGTTAGCGAATCTCTCACCGTTTTCGTTCCTTTCTTCCAGTCCACGTCATCCCATGATGTATTCATATCCAGTGTTGTCCATTCCAACATTGATATTTCGGTCTTCCATCACAATCGTCGAATCCTTTGATGAGCATCTGTCGACGATTGACCGCAGCCTTTCGTAGCATTGATCTCTACGGTCGTCATTGTATTCATTTGTATTTGCATAGCATCGGATGAAGTTCGTTGTGATGTTCTCTCTCTTTATTTCGAAGGATGCTATGATTATCCTGAGTCCGTGAAATTCCCATCATATCAGTGCCTTTTGTGCTTGTTTGGAAAGCATCAGTGCAACCACTTGTGTTTTTCTAGTGCGTTACACTGTTGTCGAGCACCACGAGGTTTCTGATGCTCTTTGAAATGGTCTTCCTGTCTCCTGAAATTAACGAACGTTTTACGTACCTAAAAAAATGGGTGCACTGATTGTCAGAACAGGCATCAAGCTGATGACTTCTACAGGAAATCGGCTTCCATCATGCGACGTCATAATTCTTCTTCCAAATCTCAGAGCACAGTAAAAACGGTTTGAACCATTTATTCTGGTTAGCGTTTTTTAGCCAGTCAGTTTTTACTTGGCATAAGGGTGGCAACCCAATGCACAACGCTTACTCTATTATACGAGCTTGTGACCGACAGTGTACACGGAGGGTCAACTAGTGGAATAAATAAATTTTTATACTATTTATTTATTCTATATGTCTAATAGCACGGTTTAATGGGGTTTTTTTACAATTCGGTGCGATAGGTTTTTGAAAGATGTAGTCGCTTTTTATTCGGTTACGATGGTTGACCACATTGAATTGAGACTACACCATAAAACGGTCATGTTGTGTCTGATGCTAGTTCATAAAATAATCATGTATCCAATATTTTTTATACAGAGAAAATTGAAAGATGTTGAAATGATGGTAGAACATTTAAAAGAGCCGCCAACGAGTAAAGGAAAATATTTGATACTAATAAGTCTTATGTCAATACTTCAAAATATTAAAGAAATATTTCACGATGAAATTGTGAGTTAGATCATTTCAAAAATTTCAATGAATTTCATGTGTCATTTCAAACGTAAAATGTTTATAAGGATTTGCAAACAATTTCACTCAATTTCACGTATCCATAGCATTTTCTAAGGAAAAAATATGAATCCGCATAGAAACCGCACACATCGACGACAGTTCTATGACAATTTAGTTTTACGTAAATTTACTGAAACAGAATACATATACTCAAATCAAAGTGAGAGATTAATAGAAAGATGTTAGATTAGGATTTCTGACTGTCGTACGAATTTTCTATACTAGTTATTCATTCCAAATCAACTAACAATGCTCGATCAGGTACATTGACAACTTGAAATGGTAATACAAACCAGTAACCTCTAGAGCTGTTGTAAGTTTGTGATGAAAGAAATTACCGAAATCAACTGAATATTCTTAAACAACGTAATGAAATACTGAACTAACCTCTGAGTGATAATGATTCTGTGAATTGCGAGTTGGAAGTAATCAAGAATGGAAGTCTGTATTTGACAAACTTCAAATTCACATCACTTGATGTGTGTTCATCGGTTTTTGTATAATTTTCTGTATTGAATATATGTGTAACTAGTCAAGATAGTTTTGATGGGAAATATTGACTTAGTTGGTATTCTGAAGTGCAACTCATCGTAGTTTGCAGTGTATAATAATTTCAGTTTTGTGCGTAGGACATTTCAGCTTTGTCGATATTTGTGACGAGTGTGATTGTTTTGTTGTAGAGTTGTTTTGTTTAGTAATTCGGAAATTTTTTATTAACCATTAAACGTATTTTTCGTGTTCGTTACTTGTGAATCAGTAATCATGTATCCAATTCATTTCATGCAGATAGATTCGGATGATGTTTTGAATAATTTAAGTTTGTTCACGCAGATAAAATTACTATTTAAATTTATGAAAATAGATTGTGATTTAATAAAAACTGAATATCGTTACGAAAAAATTGTTTCACAGATAAATGTAAGTAATTTTAATTTTACAGATTTATATGTTTTTTAAATGTAATTTCTCTCATAAAATATTCGTCCGCTTTTTCAGGTCATTCAGTCCAGTTTCTTGTTTTCATATTCATATTTAGTTTTTAGATTTCATCATATAATAAACATTTATGAGTTTGCATTGAATATCTAGTTGTTAGTTTGTGACGAACTTATAAACTTCATAAGAATACTGAACAACCCTGTGAGTAATGACTGTTTATTGTGATGCAACTTGGAAGTAATTAAGAATGGAAATCTGTATTCGATGAATACTAAATCAGCTCCAAGTCATATGTGTATATCGACTATGATATTGATTGTTGAAGAATATAGGTGAATTTACCGATGTCATTGCTTCTGAAAAATTTGCATTGTTCATCCTCATAAAGACCTACTTCTCCTCGTAGTTTGCATTGAATATTGGTTTTAGGGCTGTGCATAGGAAATATCAGCTTGATGGATGATTTTGAAACGTGTAAACGCCTATCTCGATTTGTGATAGTTGATAACATTGATCTTATAGGAGTTTGCCATAAAACATGATTGCTGTGTTTTTCATTATTGTTCAAATAATCTTGTTTTATCAAATGTATTTCATACAGAGAAAATGCGATAAAGCTTCAAAGAATAATAAAGAAATAATACGGAAACTAAACCGTGAGACATATGTCCAAGTTGTGAAATGTCTCTCATCAACATTGAAGAATTGTATTGAATGTTGTCAATATGTACTTGTAAGTGGGGGTATTCTTAAAAAATTACAATGAATTTCATGTGTCACATCTAATAGAAAATGCTCAGTTTCTCGTTTGTATTGGATGGTGTAGAAAGAAATCGCAATGAAACTGAAAAAGCTGAGATAATAACCATTAAAACAGATCGTCACTACATGAAAAATACATCGACATCGACCTAATATATCAAACCATCAGAAAAATCATAAGTGAAATAGGATCAACAAACAGTTGAAAAAGGGATTATGAGCATAACGAAGGTTCGAAAAACGACTGCTAATTGATGAATTTAATGTCATCGAAGACGTTGTTGATCTGATTGTAGATGTTCTCCAGCTCATTCCTTTTGATAATTAGGATTGTGTCGTCTACATAGAAAACGCACATTCTTGGCTTGATCACTAACAGTATCGACGCTTCCTGGCTCCGCATTACAGGTTCGACGATGAGTCCTGATATTGGTGATCCCATTGGTGTTACTTTTATTTGTTCGTAGAATCTGCTATACGAAGCTATACGACCGAAAGATTCAACTAAGAGACCGAAACAGCGTCACGATCATTAAACTGAGCTACAAATTTTCTCCACTACCGCAAAAACTGATTGTTTTCAGTTGTTACTGGTATTGCGGTTGTGCTTAGCAAATATCAGCTTCATCAATAATTACAAATAAGTTAACTTCTATATAAAAATTTGTCACAGAACATCATTGTTTTGTTTTTGATCAGTTCCTAAATAATTTTGTATCAAATGCATTCAATCTAGCCATATTCGGTGAATAATCGTACAGAAGACATGCTGTGTAGTGCAATATTGATTGCGAAAACGTGAGTTCAAATATTTTCATTTTTAAAAATATTTTCAAGTGTCATTTCTCATTTGAAAGTTTCTCTAGGATTAGGTGATAATTAACCCCAGTTTATCGTTTCTCTTGCATATTCTAAATACAGACAAGAAATTCCATAGTCTTATATTTTCTAATGCTTGAAATAAAGAACAATCATTCTATAGTAAGTTAGAGATTGTTGGATAGTGTCGGCACTAATCATTACAAAATTTCCAAAAGGTTTGCAAATCCGCCAGCACACACATAGGAAATTTGATATAATGATATGAATAAGGATCTTGTTAAGTTGTTGTCAGTACTTGAAGCAACCTATCTCGCAAATGAACAAAAAATTTCTAAAAAGCAAAGTGAATTATTTAACCACGTGTAAGTGATTATGATTGGGAGTGATGCAAGATGCACGTAATAAAGATTGCAATTCTGTTATACATGAAGGGTCAATTCACATCATATCGAATGTGTACACCAATTATTTAATTGCATAGTATAGAATATATGTGAAAATAGTGAAGACACTCATGATGTGACGTGTTGCCTTAGTTGATTTCCAAACCTGCAACTACATGTAGTTTGCAGTGAATATCGGTTTTAGAGTTGTTCCCTGGGCAAGTCAGCGTTATCAATTCTTGTGAATCGAGTAGTCGCGTTTATTGAGTTATGTTACTTCACCACAGTGAAGTTGGTATTTTCAATTGAATAGATTGGTGTTTTTTGACATTAGTACGAAAATAATACGGTTTCCAAAGCTATTCATCTATGAAATGTTTGAAGATGCTGCAAATGTAGAATACATCGTCGTTTTCTTCAAATTTTCATTGAGTTGAATTAACATACTCTTGAAAAATTCCGTCTATTTCTTCTAGTTTACATCTCTAATCGAAAGCTTCCACTTGTCTGTTACTGTCTTCCGTGAGTCTAAATAAATTTCACTATTTGTGTATAACAAATTTTTGAAAAAATAAATTTATTTCTCTATCCATGGTTAACAATATTCGGTATATTATTTTCAGATTCCGACGAATATTGCGTGAAATAATAATGAGAGATTGTAGACTGTAACTGTACGGAACATCTACTGATGGCTCAAATGCGCATTCTCATTTAGTTCAGCTGGAAAAAAGAACTAAGTTTTCTGTTTCTGTAAACTGAATTTTATAACGTACGTATGCCTCAAGTTCACTATTTTATTTTTATGGTTTTTTTAAAATCAGATAATTAATAAATTCACACTACAGCTAAATTTGTTTTGTTATTTTGATTGAAGTGTTGAAACATATGATTGTTAAATTTGTTTGTATTTCGTTCAGACTGACATCACAAACTGTTCAGATGATAGTAGAATAATTATATATCCATCCATCCTAACCATTGCATTCAGATACGATGGAATATGTATCCTCGGAAATTTGGAGTAACAACAACGTCATAATCAAATTTGAAATCATTTTCTTGTCTCATTTGTAGTTCAAAACGTTCTTCAGGAGATGCAGATAATTTACCTGAGTTTCTCTTTTCCATCACAGACACTTCGAAACAGATATCTAACAGCATTGAAACAGAGTGATTTGAAATCGGTTCTCACACAACTTTCTCATATTTACGTGTAACTTAACATAAACATTACTTCAATAAGAAAAGATAGATTGTTATATATAGATTGACGTCACTGGTAATTGCAATAATCTTACGAGTTCGGTATCGCGATGATTTCTTTTTCAATCTACTAGCACTGTTCGATAAGCTACATAGACCATTTGATATGGTATTATACACCAAAATGTTATGTGGTTGTTGTCAGTCGGTGATGAAACTGATCTCCCGAATCAACTCAAAAGAGTTGGGCAGCATCTTGAAACACTGGAAAAACAATCGTTTAGTGAAATGTATGTAAAAAATATTCATGAACAGAAGTCTTTATAGGTGAACACTCAATTCACGTCACTAAATGTGTGTGCATCATTCAGTTTATTCATTTGTTGTAGAATGGATGTGAAACTACTGGAGACATTGCTTATAAAAAGAACGTTACGTTGGTTGATTCTCAAAAATGCGACTGCATGTAGTTTGCAGTGAATATTGGCTTTGGTCTCTGCCTAGGAAATATCACTGATTTGAATATTCGTGAAGAAATGAATCGGTGGTTTTGGATTATGTTAGTTGGCAACACTAAAATTAGACTATATCGTTGATGCATGTGACACTATTCCTTCACTATTGCTATATCTCATCAATTTCATTCAGGGTCCTTCGGAATCTGATACGACGAAATATGTCTGTTCGGAAACTGTGAGCAATATAATGAAAAAATTTTAAATAATTTTCATGCCTCATTCATATTTCGTTTCTGGCTGATTAGCTCAATCTGTTTCCGTCCAGCTTCTGCATTGCTCTCTGGTCCCAACTCATGCGAACGCAAACTTCGGACTCTTTATACGAGCAACTCTGGTGTGGCAGGCTGACTTGAGCAACAAATATGGTACGTCACTCCTGGCTCCGTTCTCCGTTACACACTTTCGGGGACAACTCGAGCATCAAGAGGCGCTTCATGTTCTTTAACTTTCCCGTCCCACAATCGCACGTTTACTGATCAGTAACACGAATGAACCTGCAACGCATCAAGATGGTTCACGTTGTTCAGCGAGTGACTGTTCTAGTGTCCTGCTTTCATGATTGGTTTTACATGTAGTTGTAACCAATGATATCAGTGATCATTTTGTTTAAGTGTACCAAACACAGATAATTTCCGTTGTCTGTGTCCTTGAACTTGTTCACGTAAGCAAGGTAGTCTCACTAGTAAACTTTGAAACGATCTTGGTATAACTTCGATGTCACGAGATCACCAGTAAATTTATTGTTACTACAATCTCTTACTGAGCTTCTGTTCTACGTAGGGATTTAACTTGGGGGTTAGTACTATTTGACCTGTAGATATATATACCAATTGACGTGAAGATTTAAGTAATTGAAGCCTTTATATGCACTAAGTTCCTCTTTCACTGACAACTGAATACTGATTTGTTCAGCTAACAACCGTCAAATAGGACAGTCTTATTAGAACCCGCAATCCAAATGACCAAAACATAAGTAATTTTACGGTGATTATTCAAATTTACAATGGGTCAGTCAGTGTTGTGCCGATGGTCGACGGAAATTTTGTTAACTAATTCATCAGATTCGTCCCTTGTTTAAAAATCCTAGATCACCACCATAAGTATATTTTACCATCCATCTAATTTGACTTACTAAACGTAAGTAATGATTCCTTCAAGTTTCATCATTCCATTTTTGATAAGTAGTTGAACGCCGAAGACTAAGAGTTTCAAGAAATCGAATAGGAAATCACAACTAAGTTTATTGGACCTATTCAAGTTTGCAACTCTTGAGAAGTCAGCAAAGCTATTATTACAATATAGAGTAGAACATACAATCCTGAAGTTTGCAATCAACCATGATTTAATACTCTGCAATCTGTTCACTCATAATAAATTAGCAATCTGAATTACTGAATGTGAACCCAGACAAGATTAATTTATGTTCGCTTGTAGTGCCTCCACATATATTTCAGTCCTCTCACATCTAACTTGGTTAAGCCCTTTCGATTAATTTATTTAACCAAGCCATTGGTAAAACAATAACTTATATGTACCATTGGCTTTTATTATTGTGTGGTTTGTATTCGCTGGTATGATTGAACATTGTTTACACTTGCGCGCATATTCATACTTTTCGCTTTAATGTTAATCTCTTAATATCCTCATGAACTCACATGATTTGTATCGCTTGCTTTTGACCTTGTCCATCATTCGTCGCTTTTATTCATGTGTGTGCATACCTATTTCGCTTGTCATATGTCTGTCTTATTTATGCCTGACTATATATTCTTAGTCATACTCTATCTCAAAGAGTTGGCTCAACAGCCTTCTCCTATTCTCTTCGCTTATTCGCTCGCATTGTAATCCAAAGAGTTGGCTCTTAGCCCTCTCCGCTTCACTTTGTGGTGTGCCTCGAATAAACGTATTCATCAATGCGAGTTCATCTTCTGATTTATAAATCGAGCTTAAGAACACGCAGTTATCGGCACACTACACCCTCTCGTTCCGTATCTTGAACACCTAATATAAGGCGAAACGTTTCGACTAACGGAGTCCCTACCAATAAAACCAATACTTAAGTAACAAGGCAAAATAGATAACATTATAAGAGCTTTAGTCCAGGTACAAAGGAATAGTTTCACAGTAGTAGGATCAGTCAGTTGGGTACTTCAGAAATAAAATCATTTCTGTACAGATCCCAGGTGCTGATATTAAAGAATAAATCCGAAACGATGATACTAACTTCTAACATACTTTGTTGATCTGATTACTTCGAAGCATTTTGTATAAACTCACATCCTTCCGACTAGTTAAACACATAATTATGTAGATTTGCTACGTTTAATGCCAAATTATCATCAATTTGCAAATTTTATTTGTTGGCTCATTCTCTTTCAAATATACGTACAAAAATATCACTAAATTAGACAGCGGAGCCTAAGGAAGACCTAAATTAAGAAACCTCTCTGATTATCTGTTCTGTTCTTAGAAAGTGGTGAAATTTACACGTCGAATGCAAGTAGTATTTGAATGTTTTTCATGTCAATCAGTCAATATTCTGATGGAAGGTCTACTCCTGAAAATTTAGACGAAGATAGTAATTATACCTAGTAGCATGTCTATGACACAGTTGAACAAGGATAGAGAATGTGGATATCGTTGAACGATAGCACCTGGAATAGAGAATCCAGGTGATCGTTTGCCATAAGCAGATATCCGACCGGTGATTTTTGAGTGAAGAGATTGTTTAGGATTGAAGTACTCCTTTGATAAACATTCAAATAACATACACTGCCACAGAAACTCAAGATCGGCATGAACGAATGTAGCTACAATGTCGAGAAGTAGTGTAGTGTGTCGATTTTGACGTGTTCTTAATCTTCCTCGGCTTTCAGCCGAGTAATAGAGAAAGATATGAGAGGAATGAACAAACATTGGACAGAACTGGTAAGAGAAGCCCAGGACAGAGTTGATTGGAGAAAACTGGTGGGTGGCCTCTGCTCCATTGGGGGTAACAGGCGTAAGTAAAGTAAGTAGTAAGTTAATCTTCCTAATTAGCTGGTCTAGACAATCGCTACAAAGTAGCGTCTCACGGTTATAAATCAGAAGGTGAATTCGTAGTGATGAATACGTTTATTTGGGACACACCACAAAGCGAAGTGGAGAAGTCTAGTGAGCGGACTCAAAGAAATAGAACATGACTAAGAAAATATAGTCAGACAAAAATAAGGTAGACATGTGGTCAACGAGAGAGGCCTACACACACATAAATAACAGCGACGAATTGTTGACAAGGTCAAAATACAAGATGGACACATCATGTGAGCTCATACAAACCAGACAATGAAAACGAATGGTACATATAATTTGTTGCTTGAATAAATAAATTAATCAAAATGGCTCAGCCAAATTAGACTTTTGCAAACTGGAATAAATGTGGAGGCACTACAGAGCCCTAGGAGGTTCCATTCCGATACTATATTACGTCAAGTTAGACGCGGACTAAAAGACGCTCACACCGAACCGTTGCCCCAGAACGAGCGACATTCAAATTCGAACCCGTCCATCGACGGTTCAGCAATGAGACTACTTTGGTGCATACAAGGTCGAAGGATATTTCACTTTTGCAGAAAGTAAGCGAAACTTTATTGATTATCTGATTTTAACAAAACCATAAAAATAAAATAGTGAACTTGAGGCACACGTACGTTATACAATTCAGTTTAGAGAAACAGAAAACTTAGTTCTTTTTTCCAGCTGAACTAAATGAGAATGCGTTTTTGAGCCATCAGTAGATGTTCCGTACAGTTACAGTCTACAATCTCTCATTATTATTTCACGCAATATTCGTCGGAATCTGAAAATAATATACCGAATATTGTTAACCATGGATAGAGAAATAAATTTATTTTTTCAAAACTTTATTATACACAAATAGTGAAATTTATTTAGACTCACGGAAGACAGTAACAGACAAGTGGAAGCTTTCGATTAGAGATGTAAACTAGAAGAAATAGACGGAATTTTTCAAGAGTATGTTAAGTCAACTCAATGAAAATTTGAAGAAAACGATGATGTATTCTACATTTGCAGCATCTTCAAACATTTCATAGATGAATAGCCTTGGAAACCGT